CTATAGCGATTGTACACGTCTCTTTCCTCTCCCACTCACTGCGCTTTCTCCCTCGCAGGCAACGACGAGACGGTGCGCCAAGTGTCGGCGGCCGGAGGCGAGTGCTGGGCCTACACCGTCGACCTCTGCGACCGCCACTCCATCTACAAGGTCGCCGCCAGGGTCAAAGAGGAGGTTGGCAAGGTTAGTAGGGAAGGGCAGGGTGTCGGAAGGGGGGTAGAGTGGTGAATCCCGGTGGAGGGGGGAGGGAATGGAGAGGGTAGATAGGAGAGTAGGGGAAGGGAGGGCTAGAGAGGTCAAAGAGGAAGTTGGCAAGGTCAGTGGAAGGGGGCGGGAGGTTAAAGGGGGGGGTGAGTAGCGGAGGACAGAGGGGAGAGGGTACGTGAGGGATAGAGAGGTCAAGGCAGACTTTGTGAGGGTCGGTGCAGGGGGGAGGCGGAGGGGAGGGCAGAGACAAGGTCAAGGCAGAGAAGATCAGGGCATGAGAGGGTGGCGGATGGAGGGGATTGAGAGGGAGAGGGCAGAAGGAAGAGGAGGAGTAGAGGGGTGGGTGCCGGTGAGGGGATGTAAGTCGAGAAGAGGGAAGGAGTGGGGGTTGTGGGGATGGGTGGGAGGAGGAGGGGTTGGAAGAGGTAGGAGGGATGGGGGGAAGCTGGCTCGGGGCCTCGCGTCTTTTTCATCTTTTCCGTCTTCCTGTTTTTTTTTTTTGTTTTTTTCATTTCTTTACTCGACATGTCTCGTCGCTTAGCTTATTCCTCAGTACTAGCTACTTAACAAATATGATAAATATAAATTAAAGTAAAAATACCAGATACCTTTAAAAAATACATGATTAATACAACAAAATATGATAATGAAATGAAAGTTAACCTGGGTTCTGGAGCCATGCCATTTTCAATTAGTTTATGTCATTTGTTAATCAGCTGATAGCATTGCTTTTATCTCGAAGGTTAAGGAACATTTAATTATCCAGCTGTAGAGGTGTTTGTGTAAGGTAAGGGTCGATTAGATGCGATAGTGTAATTGTAGGGTAATTATGAGGATAACTGAAAATAAGTGAGTAAACATGATGACGTGATTACAAATAGTTTTTAATTCATTTGTAAGATCTTAGTCTTGGTTATTTGACGATATCTGATGCCGACATGATTATGGCGACAAAGGCCGAATGCTGAAACATGTATCAGAATCAAACAGAAGAAGAATAAAGAACAACCCGAAGAATAAAGTAGAAAAAACTGCTAACGGGTGAAGGAGAATGGGGCGATAGGCGACGGGCGACGCGCATTAGTGCACCCCCCCCCCCCACACACACACACACATACGCACATATCTGTGTGTATATATATGTATATATATATATGTATATATATATATATATATATATATATATATATATGTGTGTGTGTGTGTGTGTGTGTGTGTGTGTGTGTGTGTGTGTGTGTGTGTGTGTGTGTGTGTGTGTATGTATAGATATATGTATATGTGCACACACACACACACACACACACACACACACACACACACACACACACACACACACACACACATACATACATACATACATACATACATACGTACGTACATACATACATACATACATACATACATACATACATACATACATACATACATACATACACGTACGCACACAAAAGCAAACAAAAACACAAATAGTCAGAAAGTAAGGGCGTTCCCGTTATTGAAATACACGACTTTACTCTATTAGTACGTTATATTTTCATTTTATAATGACCGTACATGATTGATAACTAAATGTCATAGATAACTGCATATATTGATAATGAACTGGATGATTAGCGAGAATAATTCTTAGCCGCTTTTCAAAATGCATATTTGTAACAATAATAGCGACAACAGAAATAGATAAAAAGAAATTGGGTAAAATGAAAAGAAAGTAAAAGAAAATATTTACACAAAAAATTAAGAGGTGAAAAATAGTGAATATATTAGGAAAAGAATACAAGTCATACATAGTGACTGCAGAAAAGTAGAATGAAATATTATAGGTGACAAGAAATAGTTGACAAATATTTACGAAGGAAATGAGGCTCAAATTGAAGTTATTTGAAGATGAGACAGCATTTATTTGTAGGTCGATCGTTCCTTTTTGGTCTGAAATGATTTTGTTTTGTTACTTCCGTTTTATTGGTGTTTTTGTTTTATGATTTTTCCCCTTAATCTTTGTTATTCCGGCTTTATGTCTTTATATTTCGTTTTATTTTAATTTCATATCTTTTCCATCTCTTCCCTTCCCATCATTTCTCTTTCCTTCCCCTCTCTTCCCTTCCCCTCTCCTCCCTTCTCTTGCTTTCCTTTCGCTTCCCTTCCCTCCCCTTCCCCTTCCCCCCTTTACTTCCCTTCCCTATCCTTCCTTTCCTTTCCCTTTTCCTCCATACCATCTCCTTCCTTTTCCTTTCCTTCCTTTTTCTTCTCTTCCCCTCCCATCCCCTCCCCTCCTATCCCTTCCCTTCCCTTC